CATATCATCCCAGGATTTCCAGTTTCTATAAAATCAATTATCACTTTTATACCATCTCCAAATTGAGTCATATTAATGTATAGCAGTATCAGTCAAGACAAATAAGATATATTGTGAAATTCTTCCACTTTTCCTTACTAAAAAAGCTAAAACTAGACAAAAGAGGCAGAATGCAATGGACTTTGTTATGTGCCAATACTTCCTGGGGAATTAAGAAATAAAATGATGAGTATCAGCCAGGAGGTCCAAAAACAATGCACAAAAGAAATGTATTTGCCAGAGAGGGACAAAGGGTAGGAAATAAGAGACATACAGGAGATGGAAGATAAGAGGGATAAGAAGAAGAGAACAAGAGAGAGGGCTATTTGTTCCACAAGACAAAGGACTGCTGCTAGCTAGAGAGAAGACAGATGTGGCTCACAGGAAAACGGCAGTTTATAAAGGTACAGGGGAACCCCATTTTAAAATAAGGTGCTGAATTTTAATTGGGCATGCTAACTATGTAAGTCAAAGGGAACATTTTATTAATGTATTTCAATACTTGATATGTGGAGTTTGGTAGTCAGCCTAAGACAAGAAAATGCCAAATAAGAGAGTAGACCTTGGGCAATAGCTTCAGGAACGTAATTTAAAAGTTTCTACCAGGACAGAAGGAATGGGAGAGGAAGGCAAATCCTGCCAGAGGCTTGTTTCCCGTGCTCTGCATGGCTAAAGTCCTTTCAGGGAAGCCACAACAGACCAAAGTATGGAAACCACCAACATCCATCTTGGTGAACCAGTGAGTTTTGTTGGGATTATTTTCTGGAACTGTTGTATGCAAATTGCAAAAATCCCAAAGAGACCACCAGGAACCACAATTGTGATGCAAGCACATAGGGATCTTTATTCAAGTTTAAGCTTGAGCCAAGCTACCTTCCTGATGGAACAGGAAGGAGAGTGATCCTAGCTCTAGGTGAAGGGGGTTTACAAAAGAAAATTCTGCAAGCAGTGGTTTCTAAGCCTTGGCATTACACAAGAGGGTAAAGAAATGTTTGCCTCTTTGAATGTTTGCCAGAACCCAAGTGTGGGAGCCATATCACTTCAAGCATTCCAGATTGTAGCTTTCTAGACAGTAGCTTTCTCCAAGGACAGGCAAGATGGAATCCGTCCTGCTGTTTTGTTGCCTCTTCATTGGTCCTGTCTCTCACTAAAGGCAATTAAACAGAACAGAATCTTAAGAACAAAATGAAGAGCCGGGTGGTGGTGGTGCATGCCTTTAATCCCAGCACTTGGGAGGCAGAGGCAGGTGGATTTCTGAGTTCGAGGCCTGTCTGGTCTACAGAGTGAGTTCCAGGACAACCAGGGCTACACAGAGAAACCCTGTCTCAAAAAACCAAAAAAAAAAAAAAAAAAAAAAAAGAACAGAAGTTTATTCTGCTACCTCAGTCCCCTCAGAATATGTATGAAGAGCTCCTTACAGGAGCAGAAACTACTCAGATAGCTGCATCATCAGGCCTACCCAAGCATGGATGATAGCTCATGGGTTAAAGCTGGGAATCCTTTAGCCCACTGTACAGCCTGCAGGCAGCTCAACAGTTTGGACAGTATCCTTTCCACATTTTTTAGTTTCTCTAAAGCTCCTTCAGGCAACTTGGTTTCTGTTGTCTGGTCTAAGTCTTGTTCACAGCTTGGCTCTGCTCTTCTGGGAGTGACTTTTAGCTGTTATTGTTACACAAGCAGGGAGTAGCCTAGTGAATCTATTCAGTTTCAGGGACTTCTTGAAGCTATTTTTAGTTGTTTACCTTCATGCTTAAGAAGCTTCTTGCAAGACTACTGAATGGAATGTTTAAATCTGACAAAAATATTTACACAACAAAGGGGTATCAATCATCTCCTTTCACTAACCACAAAGCTACAACTAATTACCTAGACAGCCATCATATGAAGAGTGGCCAGACAGCCTAAATCAGTGACAGGTGTGTGAAATTGTGAAATAGTTGATACTTTTCTCTGCACTTAAAATGATGAAAGAGGCATTCATCATTAACAAAACAAGCAAGCAAAAAAAAAAAGCTTGAACTCAGAGAATTCTGTGTTTTGATTTTCTCTTTCTCTCATTAAATGCAGTATTTTACATCCTTGCTAGTCATCAATAACAGGGCAATTCCTTGCATATAATTTCTTCATTTCTACTACTGAGAGCCCGATTCAAACCCATGTTATCACATACTCCAGGAGAATAGTCCGGAATTTGGAAGCTGGAGTCAGTTTATTCATTTCACCTTTTACTCTGTGTTTTGCATGCTAATTACCCCATCTATTTTTAAATTTAGCTTTTCAAAAACAAGAAAATGCTTTTATGATTACCTCTGAGCTTCTAGTATTTCCCTTTATTTTGCTCTCTTGGAAAGATAGGCCTTTGGATGGCATTTAGAAACTGTTGATTTTCAAATGCCTATCAATGGGGCTTCAAGGAATCAGTAAGTCTATGTTAGAATACACTATGTAGTTTCACACAATGGTATTTTCACAGGTATGTCTTTGAGGAATTTTTCTCTGTCTGTCTGTCCCTGTCCATATCCCTGTCTGTCTCTCTGTAGCTCTCGTGTGTGTGTGTGTGTGTGTGTGTGTGTGTGTATGTGTTGAGGGAGGAAATTCTTTCTGTGTCTCAAAATCGTTTTTCTTGGTGTTTCCTGTGGCCATTAGAGTGAAATCAGGTCTGTACTATTTGGTGTAATGGCAGATGATCAGGAAGACTATAGATTACTAAAACTGAGAAAGACAATCATGACATAATGAAACACATCTCTGAGTAATAGCTGACAGCCTGTCATTGCGATATAGACAACAATCTTGTCAAGCTCAATTGGAACAGTTCTATAATATAAACACATCAAGTTACACAGAATTATGTTCTTTAAAATAGGTTAGATGCTAAATTTTATTATAGATATTTGATCTTGAAGTTTTTTTAAAGCATAGGATTGGAAGCAATCTATAGAAAAAATAATAATTGTAAAATAATAATCCATGTAGATGAAGGTTATGAGACATAAAACAAGTAGATGGAACAGGTCTTGTAGTGTGTGTGTGTGTGTGTGTACGTATGTGTGTGTGCTTATGAAGCATGTATGTGTATGAGGTATATATGGACATTTCTGCATGGGTGAGTGTGCCTGAGCACATACAGACTCCAGAAGACATGTCCATATGTTCTCTTCTATCACTCTCTGCCTCGGTCCTTTGAGCAGGCCATCTTGATAAACTGTAGGCTTTTGGATTTTGTATAGGCTGATTGCCAGCAAATCTCAGCAACTGTACTATATCTTCCCACTTTAATAATGGGATTATGTGTATGCATGGGAACATTCCATGCTCATAATATGGATACTGGAATCTAAACTACGTTCTTCAGGCTTGTTTAAAAAATATTCATTGTTTTATATTATTTATATTTTATTTTTTAAATTAAAATATAACTTTATCATGTCATTCTTCCCATTCATCTCTCCAACCCAACCCATCACATGTACTTCTCTTTTTAATCTTTCTCAAATTTACAACCTCTTTTTCTATAGACTGTTCATATATATTCATATGTACATTATATATAATTATATACGTATGCATATATATATATACCCTTTTCTGTCTGTACAATGTTGTCTATATGTATCTGATTTCAGGACTGAATATGTGATAGTGGATAACCAACTGAGGGGTTCTTTTCAGGGGAAGACTACTTCTCCTGCTCTCAGCATTGCTTAGTTGCTTATAGTTCCTGAACTTTCTCCTTCAATATTAACATGTCTATTGGTGTTGTCCTTGTTTGCTTCTATTTATTCAGCCATGTGGGTAAGACTCCCTGGTTATAATTCCCTTGATATTCTTAAGAGACTCAATCTCACAGGAAATGTTCTATTCCTCTGACTCTCACAATCTTTCCTCCATCTCCTACTTATTGGTCCTTGAGACTTAGGTGCTGGAGCCCTGTAGTAGATGTATGTATCAGTTGGCACAGGGCATCCTCTAGTTATTTGTTCTCTACATTTTCATCAGTTGTGGTTTTCTGTGATAGTTTCTTTATTTCAGCAAATTGTTTTCTTGATAAGGTGTGAGGACTTCACTTATCTGTGCGTGTAAGGGCAAATATTTAGAATAAAGTTAGAGGTTATTCTGGTTTAGTAAAGTGGTTGTTTTATGTTGTCCTCCAAGATTCCTGACCACACTAGACCTGGTTAGTGTGTGAAGTTAAGAGTAAACATTCTTAACCACTGAACTGTCTCTTCGGATCATGTGTGACTTTTGCAAATAAACATCAATCACAAATGAACAGAAAAATGAACTACACATATAGCTAATATAGCTAGACTGTGATGATTAATTTTTGTGAAACCTGATGATGGCTTAGAGAGTGGGAACTATAAAAAAATGCTTGGGTCTCGGAACAGGACAGTCTTAGAACTGAACTTCAGGCTAATTTCTAACTACTAGGTGATTGAATGATTTGATGATTTATTTCCTTATAGGTTTCCCATCCTACCACAAATTTTTCTTTTAATTTTAAAAATGGTGGTGATTATGTTATGTGTTTTATGCAATAACTGGCCTCAAGTAACATTGACAATTATTTCAGTATAACACCTTTCCTTCCAGTAGGGGATTGTCAGGTATCTTACAATTCACAATGAGTATAAACATGTGGGAAACTGGAACATCATGATGTGGTTAACTTTTAAATTTTCATGTGTCATACCTTTTATTCATAAAATTTAGCTAAGCATGATGGTAGACAGAGGAACACTCAAAAGAATAGTATTTGATAGCTATGAAAAAGTGTAATGCCTAGGGATTGGTTGTCACCACATTAGAATAATGTTAGGGAAACTAGAACCTTTGTTTTATTTTGTCTTGTTTTGTTGTTATTGTTGGCATTCCCCAAAAGCCTGAGTGGATAAGCATGCATACTTCTTTTTATATCCTTGCTACTGTATAATTCACTGAATTCCTGTCATCTTTAGACATTTGTAGGAAACATGAATGCTGACAGTGTGGTTCACCACAAGCTGCTACACTCCGTGAGAGCCCGCTTTGTTCGCTTTGTACCCCTGGAGTGGAATCCAAATGGAAAGATTGGCATGAGAGTGGAGGTCTATGGATGCTCCTATAGTAAGTACTCATGAAGATCAAGTGATCCAGCATAAGATGTCTATGAAACACCAGATTATTCATGTCGAAAATTGAAATGTGTGTGTGTGTGTGTCTGTGTGTGTATGTGTGTGTTTGCACATGTGTATGGATGTGTGCATTTATTTATATGTTTACATGTGTGGGTGAAAAAAGCAGCTAGACAGAAACCTCCAATGTTCCAGAAGAGCATCATCACATCATTTGAACCAGAACTTTTCACTTGGTCAGATATATCCATCTGAACTTATGCTGGCTGAGCAGTGACCTACAAAGGTCTTGACATCTCCATTTCCCTGCTACTGGGATTACTAATGTGTACTATCACATCCAACTTGATTTAGGCACTGGGAATAAAATTCAGATCTTCATGTTTTCAAGGTAAGCACTTTAAAAGAGTTGGTATTTCCACAGCCTATAGTTATTTTATTTGAGACTTTCATATATATATATATATATATATATATATATATATATATATATGACATATACATATTAAAATGTGTGCCTCAGTTGAGAAAAAGAAACACTCTTATACTCTGTGAGGCCCTCTACAAGGGTGAGAGGCAATAATGGAATAAAGCCTCAATAAAAAGTTCAAAGCTAATATCCCTAGGGACTTGAATAACCATTTGCCACTGGAAATCAGAAATAGGTATGCTAAACTTTTCTTGTAAGTGTTGTAAGATATTATGAAACTTTTTTTTTTTTACTCCACAACCATGAAATGAGCTTTATCTCCTTCACATTCAGAGTAATTCATGAAATTCTCTTCTGCAGTCATAGTATTCAGATGTTAGCTTGAGAGTTGTTGATAGTGAATTAAGTGGGGATACATCTTGAACACAAAGAGGCTCTAAACCTGGACAGAAACATGAATGCTGACAGTGTGGTTCTCCACAAGATGCTACACTTCGTGAGAGCCCGCTTTGTTCGCTTTGTACCCCTGGAGTGGAATCCAAATGGAAAGATTGGTATGAGAGTGGAGATCTATGGATGCTCCTATAGTAAGTACTCATGAAGATCAAGTGATCCAGCATAAGATGTCTATGAAACACCAGATTATTCATGTCTAATATTGAAATGTGTGTGTATATGTCTGTTTGTGTGTGTTCTTCTTTTAAGCAGTGACATTCACCTGCTGCTTTCATAAGAATATCCAGTGTCATGTAAGGAGT